AGCCTTGTCCTCAACAATTTTTCAACTACTCCACTGCAACTCCCTTTTATCCATCCCTCCCTCTGTCCGACATCACGAACTAAGCAATTTTACGCTGTCCCCCTCCCCCACCGCACCGCAATCAGATCACTACTCCCGCAACTTCACGCCCTACCGCCATTGCATCTCCCCCCTCCTGCCCCCACTCGCCTCACAGTCGTGTACCCAAGGGACAGTATTCTCACCACCTGCCAACCTCATTATTCTTACCTAGATATCTGTCGATAAGAGATAGCATTCGCAACAAAATTCAATGATCATTGAATAAAAGCATATACAGTACCCTTGTACTGGTACTGTACCTCAATACCGCTCCGCAACCCCCTGCCTCCTGCACGCCTCGCTCCACCAACCGCGTCCTGCCTCGCATGCATCCCGCAACATAACTCACCACAATGGAGGGGGCTCCTCCCCCCCCCCCGTGTACTGTACGTCACGCCACCCTCAATCACTCTCCCTCAATCTGTTCCCTCGTGGACACGTGTATCTTCAAACACTGCTCCACTTCTCCTTCAGCCCTAATAAAACTTTACATCTCGCCACTCACCCCTTTCGCACACCCCGACTTGACGCACCAACAAAACCCATGCGGCAACCGGACGGTAAGCTTCTTGTTTTTTCTTTTTTCTCTTAACCCATCCCTGTCCGTACCTGCAGTCCCCGCAGCCCCCCGCACCCCAGCCTCACAGCCCGCAAGACAAACACACTCTCTGCACTCTGCACCGCCAACGCCCTGCCTCTCGCACCCTCTGTCCGTCCATTCCGTTGCCATTCCCGCACTGCCATGTCCCACCCGCCATGCCGCCGCCATAAATTTACATGTAGCCTGCCCCTCTTTGATCCACAACAAATGGCACACTGTAAGTGCCCCGTTGCTTTCCGCGGAGAAATAAACCATCTCCCCATTCCGAACTTCGGAATGGGGAGATGGTTCGGAATCCGAACCAACGAACCCCTCCCTTCCGCAACGTGTAATGGTTACCTCGTGTGTCATACACCCGTCTCGCTACTGTACACTAGTAGCCATACACTTCTCCCTTAGAGGGGGTCGGTCCTCTTCTTTCACATTCTATCACAATCCCGCCAAGTCTGCACAGATTGTCCCGCTTCTTCTTCTTCTTCTTACTCTTACTCTTACTCTTCTTCTTACTCTTCCCGCTTCCCCGCAAACCCTCCTGGCCCCAGTTCCCCTCCCTACTCGCATCGCTCCACATGTCCCATGTAATACTGTACCAAGGGTACCGTCGGCCCCCAAACCGATCGTGCATGTGCATCAATCACTCCGAACAAATCCATTTCAAATCCACTCTTGCATTCTGAAAATCTTTAAAGGGAGAACCCCCTCCATTTATGTTTTCATGCATTCAGCATGTATCTAAGGAAATCGTTTCACTTCGGTTTCTAGCCCCTTAGTGTCAGGCCGTTTACAGCCGACTCGCCTGCCTCCTGTTCTATGTCCACAATGATTATCGAATACGTACGGGATGACGACATGGGACTGCTTGCGCCCTGCTTTCGCACGTCTGGCTAATGCAGTAACAGTATTCTTACCCTATTTACATCCTTGTTTTGACTAGCACATGCAGTACACTGTGCTGTATTCCATTGCTGCTATCCAAGCGCATTTACGAAACAAGCTTCACTTTTGCCCTCTCCCAAACAAGATGAACAATCTCCTTACAGTCTTTCAAGTTTCACCTTCCTCTTCGCCTACTTTTTGGGCGCGCAAACCCTTACAACAGTTCTGTGCTCACTATATGAGATCACAAACATTGGGCAGAGTTGCAACCGGCACCCAAATCTCACTTGTATTACTCCAGTTTTCCGGCACGCTACAGTACGTGGAATGATTGCCTGCTGTACCGAGTATGGAAACTGTTGGAGTCGCCAAGCGGTCGCCGCACTGTCAGATACCCAGGACAGTGTGTCGAACACCGAACACTGATTTTACGGCTTGGAATTTCGGGTCATTCGAGCGGCAACGTGCTTTGTTAGCATACATGCATACATCTACAATTATCATCGGAGGAATAAAGTTTACACAAATAGACTTCGATGGAAACTGAACAATCCATATTCGTACAAACCTAAAACATACAGCAGCTACGCATTCAAATTCAAGGGCCAAAAGAGGAGGAGAGGGGTGCTACCCAAGGCATGCGTTCTCTAATTTACTGTAGGTCTTCGGATCAACGCAAGCCTTCGTTTCCTCTTGCCAACAAAGACAAAAATAGAGATACACCTATTTTTTTGCGTCTGATGCATTACTGTAGAACCTCCGAAATCATCTCATCAAATTTCTGAAGAAGCTACAGTAATCTTCTTCGCTACGCGTGCATGACAAGATTAAATCTTTTAAGACATCTAGATAGAACTGCACATGCCACATGGAAAAGGGGGATCCGTGCAGCTGTTTACTCGATGGCATGTTTGTGAACAGAGCATGTTTCCTCATTGAATGCCTTGGAACCCATTAGAGTTGCAAAGGTATTCTTTTATTCCCCTGTATCTAGAACCATACCAAAAACTCTTGAGGTGTCTGATGCATACTTTTTAGCCACAGATTTGAATTGATGAATGTGAAAATACACCGTTTAGGTAAATCCCATTCCGGGTTTATTTACCATGCAGATGTTGTAGACCTACTAGGCACGCACAACATCTACAATCCGTCTCTTTCTAATCATACTCCACGGATCATTGAATGCTTACGTTTGCACTTCATACAGAGATCCCGAATTTCAATTATCCATATTATACGTGGAGCCTTTTAGACTTGGTTTATCTGCAGCGGGCATGTTCTGATGTCGTGATTTCGATCACAAAGCACACGATCATGTCAACTTGACGTCAGTTTTGAAAACTAAATACTGTAAGCTGCTCAGCAGTCCGATCACCTGTAAAGTTTACATTTTGCACAGCGCAGAGTCTCACCCGTCACCTCGCAGATTGTCGAGCTGTCTACCAACCCAAAGAACAATAAAATGGCGGTCTAGCAATAATTCGGCGCGATATGAATGAAATCGCAAAGCTTGAAGGAGAGCAATGGGCTGGCAATCGACAAATTGAAGTACCTACTCCAGTGTATTGTTAACCACCGAGGAGTTGTCAACGATGCGATGACCCTCTACAGTAATGTTTAACAATCACGAAGATGGACAGGGCAAGTGAAGTCGAAGTACCACTCTGGGCTTGAAAGTGTGTCAGGAATTGCTCGGGGTCCAGGCAAAAGAGAAGGCCATGGGGCAATGTCAAATCCTCGATGTGCGAAAGTTGCGAGGCATGCAGCCTCATGCTTTAGCATGCTAATAGACATGTCGATTGTGAGCAGCTTCACAGATAAAATTTGCCGGGTAGGTATGGTAATTGTGTGCAAGTCGCGTACGATGTGTAAACGCTTCACATCCGCCGCAGAGGTACACGGGTTG